ATATGTCATTGGAATCTTGGTAGGAATTGTGTTAAATCTATAGATTTCTTTGGGTAGTATGGACACTTTAATGAGGTTAACTCTTCCTATCCATGAACACAGTATGTGCTTCCACTTATTTGCTTCTTCTTCAGTATCTTTCTTCAGTGTCTTATAATTTTCAGAGTACAGGTTTTTTACATCTTTAATTAGGTTTATTCCTAACCAAGGTATATTATTCTTTTTCAAGCAATTGTGAATGGGATTGTTTTCTTAATTTCCCTTTCTGTTAATGTTATATAAACTTACAACTGATTTCTGGAAATTAATTTTGTATCCTGCTATGGTGCTGAATTCATTTATCAGTTCTAATAATTTCTTGGTGGAATTTTGGGGGTTCTCTATGTATAGTATCATATCACCTGCAAATAAAGACAGCTGTACTTCTTTCTTTCAAATTTGGATGTCTTTTGTTTCTTCTCCTTGTCCTATTGCTGTGGCTAGGACTTCAGGTACTATGTTGAATATGAGAAGTAAAAGCAGACATCCCTGTCTTTCTCCCAATCTTAAGGGGAATGTTTATAGTTTTTGCCCATTGAGTAAGACGTTGTTCTGGATGATGAGTGGGTTTGTAAAATAAGATCTTTATTATGTTTAGGTATGTTGCCTCTATTCCCACTTTGCTGAGAGTATCATAAATGGGTGCTGGATTTTATCAAATGCTTTTTCTGCATCTATCGATGTGATCATGTAGTTTATATCCTTCATTTGGCTAATGTGGTGAATGACACTTATTGATTTGTGAATGTTGTACTAAATTTGTATTCCCAGAATAAATCCCACTTGATCAGGGTGTATGACCTTTTTGATGTATTATTGTACTTGGTTTGCTAGTATTTTGTTGAGGATTTTAGAGTCTCTGTTCATCAGGAATATTCGCCTATAATTTTCTTTCTTTGTTATATCTTTATCTGGTTTTGGAATTAGGATAATGACACACTCATAAAATGATTTGGGGATACTTCCCTTTTCTTGAACTTTATGAAATAGTTTGAGAAAGAGAGGTGTTAGTTCCTCTTGGAATACTTGGCCAAATTTACCTATGAAGCCATCTAGTCCAGGGCTTTTGTTTGTTGGGCAATTTTTGATTACTGCTTCAATTTCACTAGGTGTAATCTGTTATTCAGATTCTCTGATTCTTCCTGATTTAGTTTTGGAAGATTGTATGTTTCTAGGAATTTATACATTTTGTCCAGGTTGTCCAGTTTGTTGGCATATTGTTTTTTGTAATATTTTCTTACAATCTTCTGTATTTCTTTATTTCTGGTGTTAATTGTTATTTCTCCTCTTTAATTTCTGATTATATTTATTTGGGTCCTTTCTTCTTTACTCTTGATGAGCCTAGTTAAAATTTATCAATCTTGTTTATCTTTTCAAAGAACCATTTCTTGGGTCCATTGATCTTTTGTATCACATTTTAGACTATTTCATTTATTTCTGCTCTGATCTTTATTACTTCCTTCCTTCTACTCACTTTGGGCTTTGTTTGTTGTTGTCATTATTATTTTCAAGTTTCTTTAAATGTAAAGTTAGATCGTTTAGTTCATCTTTTCCCTGTTTTTTGAGACAGGCCTGTAATGCTATGAATTTCCTTCTTAAGATTGTTTCCCCATTGTCCCAGAGATTTTGAATTGTTGTATCCTCATTTTCATTTGTCTCAAGGTAATTTTTGATTTCCTTTTTTTTAATCTCATTTTTTACCTACTCATTGTATAATAACGTGTTATTTAGCTTCCATGTCTGTGTATGTTTTTCAGTGTTCTTATGATTGATTTCTAGTTTTATAGCATTGTGATCAGAGAATATGCTTGATAAAATTTCAATCTTCTTAAATTTACTGAAATTTGTTTTGTGCCCTAAAGTGTCATCTATGGTAGAAAATGTTCCATGTGCACTTGAAAAGGATGTATATTCTGCTGCTTTGTGATGAATTGCTCTGAAGATATCAATTAAATTCATTTGATCTAGTGTGTCATTTAAGGTTTCTGTCTCCTTGTTGATTTCCTGTGTGAAGGATCTATCTGTTGAAATCAGTGGGGGGTTAAAATTTCTGACTATGACTGTATTTATGTCCATCTCTCCCTCTATGCTCAAGATTTGCTTCATATATTTAGGTGCTCCTATGTTGGGTTCATAAATGTTAATAAGGTTACGTACTCTTGTTGGGTTGTTCCCTTTATCATTATGTAGTGTTCTTCTTTGTCTCTTATTATACCCTTTGTTTTGAAGTTTATTTTGTCAGATATAAGTATTGTTACCCTAGCATTTTTTCCATTTGCTTGAAATATCTTTTTCTATCCCTTTACTTTTAGTCTGTGTGTACACTTCAATATGAGATGTGTCTCTTGGAAGGAGCACATATATAGGTCTTGTTTTCTTATCCATTCAGCTACCCTGTATCTTTTGGTGGGAGCATATAAGGCATTTACATTTAAGGTGATTATTGGTAGATACATATTTAGTGCCATTTCATTGTTAGACTATTTTTCTCTGTTTTTTTTCTTTCTCTACACCTCCTCCTCCTCCTCCCCCTCCCCCTTCTACTCCTTTTCCTTCTTCTCCTTCATCTTAAAGAGCTTTAAATGTTACAGGGCTTTGTTAAGCCCTCTAACATTTGTTGAAGTACTGGTTGGGTGTTAACAAACTCCTTTAGATTTTTCTTGGCTGGGAAGCTCCTTATTTCTTCTTTGATGTTAAATGATAACCTTTCTGGATAAAATAGCCTCCATTGTAGGTCCTTGCTTTTCATCACCTTGAATAATTCATGCCACTCCCTTCTGGCATGAAATGTTTCTATTGAGAAATCAGGTGACAGACTAGTTGGTGCTCTCTTGTACATAACTACCTGCTTTTCCCTTGCAGCTTTTACAATTCTCTTCTTGTCTTTAAGCCTTATAATTTTAATTATGATGTGTCTCAGTCTAGGCCTCTTTGGGTCCAACTTGTTTGGGACTCTCTGAGCTTCCTAGTCTTCTATGCAACTTTTTCCTTGACCAGACTAGGGAAGTTTTTAGATATTATTTCTTCAAATAGATTCTCAATCCCTTTCTCACTCTTTCCTCTTTCTGGTATTTCCATGATGTAGATGCTGTTATGCTTCATGCTGTCCAAAATGTTTCTTAAGATCTTCTCATTTTTTTTATCCTTTTTTTCTCTGCTCTGCCTAGGCATTTTTTTCTACCTTGTCTTCTAAATCACTGATTTGATCCTCTGCTTCATGTAACCTACTGTTTATTCTTTCTGGTGTATTATTTACTTCAGATATTGCATTCTTTATTTATTACAGGTCCTTTTTATGGTTTCTATGTCTTTTTTCATGTTGTTGAGTATCCTTATAAGCATTACTCTAAACTCTCTATCTGATAAACTGCTTGCCTCCTTTTCATCTAGTTCTCCTTTTGGAGAATTATCTTGTCTTTCCTTTGGGGGTCTGTATCTTTATGTCCCAATTTTGGCTTTTTCTTTATATTTGTTTCTGTGTATTAGGTAGATCTGCAAAGACTCTGTTGTAGCCCTTTGTGAGATGCTGCTTGTGACTGGCCCTGGTAAAACAGTTTGGTGCTCTCAGCAATGCACAGCATGTGACTCCCTCTCCTGGGCCTGACTGTATGCAGGAAGAACCAGACTGCACAACAAGGCCAGCTTTTATCAGCACCTGGCCCTGGGGATGGTCAGCTGAAGTCTCCTTTAGTTGTTAAACTAATGAGTGATACAGCCTCAGGCTGAAATCAGCAGCCTGGCTTAAGCTTCACAGGTTAGGGCAGAGTAATTCCTGTGAGTGGCACTATTGCTTTCCCTCAGGCTGATGCCATTCAGAAAGGAGTTCTCTTCCTGAGAAAGATGGCTTCTATAGTATGGGGAATGACTCAGCACAAGAAACCTGGTGGCTGTTCCTTCAGTACTCTCCCCAGAGCCACCAACCCCAGAATTTCCTCAAGCATCCTAGTGCACCCTCCCCTCCCCTGCCAGAGCCCCACATAAGTGGCTGTGAATGAAGTTTCATGTGATGGCTCTTTAAGAGGCTCTCTGAGTCTCCAGCCATCTCTTTCTGGCAGACAAAAACCTTGCTCCTTTTCACAGCCGAATACTATCTTGGTTCCTTTATGACTCTGGTGTTCTGGGATAAGGAGACCAGCTTGGAGTTTAGACCCCACACTTCTCAGGGGGGATGCCCCGGCCAATGAAATATCTCCCTGGAAGTTCAGCTGCTGCCATGGGAGCCCAGCCAGTCCTCCCATGGCTCCTTTGTACTCCCTACCAGTTTCATTGTTGTGAAGTTGTTTCTTCAGTCTGTCCATAGATATAAGGCTTCTCTCCAGCTAGTATTCAGCTGGTGATTCAGGATGATTTCTTTACAATTTAGTTGTAATTCCAGATTGGTCCTGGGAGGTTTGCGTAGCTTCCACTTATTCCTTTGCCATTTTGGATCCTCTGAAATGTTTAAAATACCATCATTAAAAATATATGGTTGGGTTTATTTTGCAAGGGAGAAAATGAAGAAGAGATTGACTATTTTGAAGGAAAGTCTAGGAAAAATTCCTCTTCTCACATACCTCAGTTTAAATTGCTTGGGTGTTCTACACCTGACACGAGTTGTTTCTGAGAAATACTTTGCAACATAGATACACAGAGTCACTGCCTGTTCAATGTCAGGCATAGAAGCCAAAGTTCAGCTTTCACAAGACAAGTTTTCCTTGGGTACTATTGACATAAACAGGCTTTTTAAAAAAATTCTCACCCAATTTTTTTTTTATTTTAGAGAGAGTATAAGGGAGAGACAGAGAAATATCATTGTGAGAGAGAAACATCAATCAGACACCCTGACTAAGGATTGAATCCACAAGCTAGGCATGTGCCCTGACCAGGAATCAAATCCACAGCCTTGTGGTGTATGGGATGGTGCTCCAACCAACTGAGCCACCAGCCAGGGCAAACAGACATCTTAAATTTTGAATTATGCTGCAGTCTTCATCTGAGGCACCACATGAAAAACATGGAGGGCCTCAGTGTATCTATGACCTGAAACACAATAAACAATAAAATTTGGTATTTTAATATTTCCGATAAAAGTAAAAACAATTTTTTATAAGTCAAGCATTTGCTCCAGCCTGTAAGACCAGCCTCTATGGATCCCAATAAAAGTATCAGACATTACAACATACTTCAATTTTAGTAGTATCTAACAGTGGTTTTAAAATATTCCTACATGCAATAAAAACAGCAAGAAAAAAGTTGTATGCTAAATGACTCCTCCCCTTCTGCCATATAAACCCATTGTGATAGGTAATTTTATGCGTCAACTTGATTGGGCCAAGAGATGCCCTTATATAGCTGGTTATACATTATTTCTGGATATGTCTGCAGGGGTATTTCCACAAGAGGCTAGCATTTGTACTGGTGGACTAAGTAAAACATATGGCCCTCTCCAATATGAATGGGAATCGTTCAATCCCTTGAGGACCTGAACAGAACAAAAAGGCAAGGAAGGTTGAATTTGATCTCTGCCTGATTGCTGAGTTGGGACATTCACTTTGTCCTGCTCCTGGTGTTCCTTATTTATTGACTGCCCATTAAGTAAAAGATACTAGAATAGCCCCTGTGGGATATAAAATAAGAAAGATAACAATTTTTTTCTCTTACAAGATTTACCGATATTTTACCAATTCCAAAAGGTAATCTATCTTCAAAACATGAGATTTTGCCATCAAGGCTGATACTTAAAAAAAACAGTGCTGCTGGCTTTATATAAAACTCTCTAACATTATTTCAATCAATAATGAAACAAGTAATACTAATTCAACAGAGGCAATAGTATCTATTTGAATGCCCAAACTACGTACATTACTTACTTCAAATTAAATAAATGTTAATTTTAAATATGTCATGTCACATTGTGTTTTTCATTCATTTTGAACTCATTTTCCTATTTCCTGCAATTCCTACTCTTCAGATCAAATTCATGGTAAATAGGCATTTCTGGTCTGTCTTTAGTTTATAGAATAAATGTGATCAATATTTCCTACTTCAAAATTCAACAGAACCTTTGGGATATATCCATTAATGTTGTAGAAAGTAAATGAACCCTGAAGCCAGAGAGCCCTGGTTCTTATCCTAACCCTGATGTCATTAACTCTCACAAGTGACCACTGGCCAGTTATCTTATTTCTCTGAGCAATCACCCTTTTCAGTTGCACATAAAAGGTCTGTCCAGAAAAAGTCCAGCTATTTTTAATATAAAGAGAACAGTTTTCATGACATCAGTGTAACCTGGCAGCCAAGGAGAGTTAACTAGAATGTGTATGCACGAACAATGATGACTTCACTGTTCTAGTCTGTGGAGGCAGTCGATGCTGTTGAGTGAGTATGTGGACTGTGTGGCTGCCACATTTTAAATGACTGAGCGAGGAGAGCGACAGATCTACATAAAATTTTGCATTAAGCTTGAACATTCCTCCACAGAAACTATCTGGGTGATTTGGAAGGCCTCAGCTATGGGCACCAGGTGATTGGCAGCTTCATCAAGACAAGGTGCCCACTCAAACATCACATCTCATGCAGAGTTTTTTGGTGAACCATCAAATCATACAGATGACTCAGGTCCCCTACAGCCCAGATTTGGTACTCTGTGACTTCTGGCTTTTCCCAAAACTAACGCCATTTTTGAAAGGGAAGATATTTCAGACTGTCGATGAGATTCAGGAAAATACGACGGGAAGGCTGATGGCGACTGAGAGAACTGGGTGAGGTCCCAAGGTACCTACTTTGAAGGAGACCAAGGTGTCATTGTTCTATGAACAATGTTTCTTGTATCTGGTATCTTCTTCAATAAATGTCTCTATTTTTCACATCACATGGCTGGATACATTCTCAACAAAACTTGTATATGCAATGGAATATTACTTAGCCATTAAGAAAATGAAGTTTTATTATTTATGACAGCATGAATGGACCTAGAAGGTATTATTTTAAGTGAAGTAAGTCAATCAGAAAAAGACAAATACCATATAATTTCACTTATGTTTGAAATCTGAAGAACAATATAAATGAACAAATGAAATAGAACAGACTTGTAGATGCAGAGAAAAGACTGATGATTATTATCAGAGGAGATGGAGTTTGGGGGACTGGGTAAAAGGATGAAAAGATTAAAAAGTACAAATTGGTAGTCACAAAATAGTCATGGAGCTAGGGCTATAGGAAATATACTCAATAATATTGTAATAACTATACATGGTGCCAGGTGGAAATATCAGAGTGTACACTTTGTAAAGTATATACACCATGCTGTACACTTGAAACTAATACAAAACGATAAAATTTAAAACTTAGAAATAAAGAGATGATTGCTAGATCTCCGAATTTAGGTTTAAAAAAAAAGGTAATAATTCTTAGGCCACGGACCTCATTTTCCTCCAATAACAAGAGAAAGGATTTTTACCTTCATAGTTTGTTTTACCATCACCTAGCTATTCTTCTGAAAGCAAAAAACAGACTAAATATGGATAAGAAAAATTATCAGTTAACTGGGTCCTACTTAGTCCAGGTTTTATTAATTTTAAACCATTTCATTACAGACTGTTACTGGTATAATTGCTTTACACCCTATTCCATATGGTGCCTTCTGTTCTCTAAGCTGAGCTGTCCCCAACGTAAAGAATTCTTTGAATTCAACCTGAGAGATATACTCCTTTCTTAGAACTAAGATGTCATTTTAGCGTCCTTTTTTTTCCCAAGCTACTGTCTTTTTCTATATTTTTATTTTTTAAAAATCCAGTTGGAGTTTTTAAATGTCCTCATCTCAGACAGTTTTTTTTAAAGTGAGTGAAAGAAAATATTTTCCCTTGGAAAACTCACTTATAATGATGCCAACAGCCTTTCATTTCACTGGTTGCCTGGCTAACTAGTATATTAGAAATAAGCAAAGATGGGAAAATAACAAGAAACTAGTTTCTGCTGAGGGGAAGAAATTCTGCAGTTATGAAGTAGTAAGGAAAAGCACAATGAAAAATAATCTTAGCATCACAGAAGAAAGCAATTCTCAGCAGTAAAGCAGTAACAAAGAACTGAAAATGTTAGGAAACACTCAAAATAGGCAGCTATAACACAGAAGGCTTACATTGTTTTAAGTTGCAAGGTGACTTGAATGATAGAGGGACTGTCTTAAAGCTGGGGATTAGTTCTCAGAGGTGTTTTATTTGCTTTCCCTTTTTTTTTTGTTTTATCTGAGTGATTATCTCATCTGTTTTGGCCTCTACCTTTATGTCACAGCAACAGGCAAAGATAACGTATTCATTAATTAAGACTCCGTTTGTATTTCTACTCTGGAGAACCATCATTTATTAGCTTAAGATGGGAACTTAGGACTTGAAATATTTAGATAGCAGTCTCTCTAGGTTTTTTTAATGAAGCAAATATTTTTCAAATTTCAGCTAAAGAGGAAGAAAATATTTAATTAATTTAAAAAATGGAATAAGCAGCACATCTGTTTGACTTTTTTTTTACTTTTTAAATTTTTTTATTGTTGTTCAAGTACACTTGTCTTCATTTTCACCCCACCTTGTCCCCATCTCCCACCCTCAAACCTACCCACTTTGGCTTTGTCCATGTGTCCTTTGTACATGTTCCTTGATGGACCTTCCACTGTTTTCCCCCATTACCCCTCTCCCCCTTCCCCTCTGGTTGCTGTCAGTTTGTTCTTTATGTCAGTGTTTCTGGTTATATTTTGCATGCTTGCTTGTTTTGTTGATTATGTTCCACTTATAGGTGAGATCATATGGTATTTGTCTTTCACCGCCTGGATTATTTCATGTAACACAATGCTCTCCAGTTCTACCCATGCTGTTGTGAAGGGTACAAGTTCCTTGTTTCTTTCTGCTGCATAGTATTCCATTGTGTAAATATACTGTACTTTTTTTATCCACTCATTTACTGGTGGGCATTAGATTGCTTCCAGAACTTGACTATTGTAAATTGTGCTGCTATGAACATTGGGGTGCATAGGTTCTTTTGAATTGGTGTTTCAGGATTCTTATGAGATTTACATTCCACATCAGTTCTATACAAAACAGAGAATAATACTGTTGATATGGTTTTCTAAGAACTTAACAGTAGTGTAGGCAACATGAATGCTCCCTATATGCATAAAAAGACAATAACAATGACATAACAGTGACAGAGATTTTCAGTTAAATAGTACCTGTATTTAAGATGTCAAAAATGCTCTTTGATGCCGCATTAATCAAATATACTTTAATAACATCATACAGGCTGAATAGTTGTCAAGGACCACCTTTCTTTTACAGATGAGAAAATGGAACAGACATGGTTCTATGAGAAAGCCAAGATCAAATGTCAGTAAGCAAACAGTCTCAAAACCAGAGCCTTTCAAGTATCAATGAACAGACCCAGCTCAGACTGTCAATTACCTGAGTATTTAGTGAGAAAATCACCAGAGAGATTCAAGGCTCAAGGTTTGTGGTCTCTGACTTTAGTCCTATTTGTTTTTTGGTCATGTGACCTTTTGTTGTCCAAAGCAAAATTAGAATATTTGTCTTATAAAAACATCTGAAAGTCCCAATTAAATTTTGATTATTTGCAAGAGGAAATAAATCCCAATGTGTGTGACTCAGTTATACCTCCTAATAGTTTTACGATGATGCCTTTCTCCACTGGTAGCACATAGTCACATGTTTTAGGCTGACGCAAGGAAGGCATTTTGAAGTAAGCCTGTGGGAAAAATTGCATACCTCCTGAAAAGCAATCCACATGCATCAACACTTTCCTCTTCTGCAGATCCCGTACTCTAAAATCCCATTCAAAGGAGTCATTTGTGCTTTGACATTAGCAAGAAGATAGGTTCAAACCTTTATACATGAAGAAAATAGCTATGAGGATTTTCCTGTATAGTATTGCAGCTATTACAGATTTTCAATTAACCTTTGTGCCTACTTGGCAAGCAGCGTAATGGTCAGACTTCAGTGCCACAGACTATGTCACAGGGCACAAGATACAGCTAAAGATTTAGCTAAGATTTCAAGACAGTTCCTTCAAAGAAAAGTATAAAAGTCATCATAATTGCTTACATGTATGAAAATTATTGATTGAAAAATGAAAAATTTTCTGCTTCTGACAAATACATATTATACTCTCTGAAATATTAAAAATCATTAATTTATCCAAGCATAACAGCATCTTTAAATTATATTTTAATCCAAATGTAAGTAGAAAATTGGGTTTAGGTATTATACAAATTACATGTAGAGGACATAATCTTTTTCCTTTCAGAGCACAAAGGTACGCTAACTGTTACATGCATTAAAAGCCACACACCTGTACAATAAACAAATAAATGACCCTGGGAAAGATATGAAACATTATTTTCATTCTTTTCAAAGCCATTTATCTGTGTTCTGAATATATTTATCACTAAATCAGTGGATGAGAAAAAGAGAAATATCTTTGTCCTTCTGTAAAGTGTTAGCTCTTAAATTTACTATTCTCCAATGTCAAAAAAGATCAAAACGAAACACAAAGGAAACTCAGAGGACTGCAAGGTAGGCAATGCCATTGCTCTTTACTAGTTTTGCCTTATCAGTTAGCCAGGAAAGGACATTCTGTTCTCTGGAAGTCATCTTCTCTTGAGTCTCAGAATCCACTTTGATTACTTTAAAGCATCTGATGCATTCACTTGAGTCATTGGGCCCAAAAGCTCTTTTATTCAGATAAAGTGCTCCTCTGTAATATACTAGAAAACGGCATGCCTTCTAATTCTCATTTATTTCCTAAATAACTCATTTTATTTAAAGGAATGCTCAAGTCAGATACTAAATCAATAGATTGTGTAATAATCTCTTAACAGGGGCTATTTATATAAAGAACTCAAGCATTCCTAAGCAGGAAGCTACTACAGGAGAAAAAGAATGAGAAACATTATGTGTCTTAACTAACTCAAGTTCATTTCAGAAGCAGAAAAATTTATCAAGAGCTTCATGACAAGAAACAGTTCAAGAGCTGCAAAATTTTCTGGCAATGGTGGAATGAGACAGTTCCAAAGTGTAAAAGACTGGGGTATTCACCAGAACCTGAATACAAGAGGCCCTCTGCTAATCCACAGAAAATTATACCATTGACTCATGAAGAAGGCATGCAAGAGATCAAAAAATGAATCTGCCAAGAGCAGATGCTGAACCAGATTTGAGTATTAGAAGACACCCTCAGCCCACAAAACCCTGTATCTGCGTGGGAAACCAAAGGTGTGTGTCAGGGAGTGGAGGGGAAGGAGGGTCCTGTCAATATTTTACCATGATTTTCTTCCTCCTTCCAATCTAAAGAATGCCCTCCTTTTGCGTAAAGTAGATTTCACCAGAACATAAAGGTGTTAGAGTGCGGAGTTGTTGGGTAGGTGTATACTTAGAGGGACTCCTGCTTTTCCTCTTCCCTCACTGATTCCTCCTCCTCAATCCTCTCTACGGTATTTTTTCTTCTAAACACCTCAAAACTTTAAATGCCATGGCATTTTAATCTTGGTCCTCTTTTCTCCTCTATCTTTATTCAGTACCTTGGTGATCTTATTCAGCCCAGTATGAATATGTCAATGACTCCCAAACTGATATTTCTAATCTTGACTTCACGACCTACCTACTGAACCATCCCCTTTGGATACCTAATAGCCGTCTCCTATTTAACTTGCCTAACATTAAAGCACTGACTTTCACAGTCCCCACCTGCTCCCATCCCCAAATGTTCACTTTAGCTGCAGCTTCCCTTATCTCAGATAATAATAATTCCTCCCTATTGCTCACATCAAAAGCCTAGGAGTTTTTTTTTTTATTTTTACCATTTTAATATTTGTTTTTAGGAGTACAGCTCAGTGATGAGACGATTATGTAATTTATGAAGTGGTCCTCCGGACAATCCCACCTGGCACCATATGTAAGTCATTCAATTATTATTGTCTGTGTTCCCTATGCCATTAATTTTCAAAACTCTCCATTTGATGGCTCACAAACACTAATTATTAAATCCTGTGGCACACCAAACAATATATTTTATTTTTTGCTGATATGACCAAAAATAAGTATAATTTTTATTCATTCACCTTGGATAGCTTTTTTTGTGTTGGCTATTGTCTTTTTTTTTTATCCAATAATCTGAGGGAAAAGAAGTCAGTGCCCCTGACTAAATATTCAAGTATTGTATGTTTAAAAAATTCTTGAGGCATACTGGTTGAAAATCACTGCCTTATGCTGTACTTTATTTCTCCATAACCACGTTGTAATTTCTTAATTCCTTCACCAATCTGGGTGGGGGATTATCCTTAACTTGCTTCTCTGTCTCTCTCTCTCTCTCTCTCTCTCTCATTAAACACTCATCTAGTCTTCCTATAAACTCTGTCGTGTCCTCCTTCAAGATATTTAATACTCGGCCCTTTTCCTCCATTTGCATTGCTTTCACACTATTCAAGCCCCTGACATTTTTTCAAAGCTTATCTCGCAGGTCTTTGTTCAACCCTAGGAGACACAATGCCTTTTCACAAAGACCAAACAGAACCTAATTTCCTTGTGGTTTCATAAATTTTCCTCTTACCTTTGTCTAGTTTGGGAAAATGTATCTAGTCTCTGAGTTGGGAGAAACATATTCTTATTAATAAAATGCACATTCTTCCAAATCTGTTGTTTAGCCAAGTCCTACATATTTACTGTTGATACTCAACAGCCTAGATTTTTTTAAATCCCAAATTCCTTTTCTCTGCTTTGGGCTACAACTCTGTCCTGAGGCAATGGATGCTGCACAAATTTTACCTCCAATGGAGGAAGAACAAGTTAGAAGACCATTGCTGAGAATGAACAAACATATAATAAGTGCTTCTCCCCATATATACAGGCAAATTGAAGGGCCAGATGCTTTATTTAGATGTTCATTAATAAAGATGTGATGTATATATAATCGAATGTTAAAGAAGAATAAAATCTTGCTTTCTGTGGCAACAAGATGAACCTAGAGGGTAGTATGCTAAGTGAAATAAGTTAAATCTCACTTATGATCATATCATCTCACTTACATGTGGAGCCTTAAAAAATAAAATAAATGAATATACAAAACAGAAACAGACCCATAGGTATGGAGAACAAGCTGACTGGGAGGGAAGTAAGGGATGGGAATTATAAAATAGAACTTGAAAAGTCTCATATTTGTATTTTTAAAATGTAAATACCAGCACTGTTTATGTAATTCTGTAACAGTGTCATAAGCCCCAGCAAAAAGTGCAGTGGCTGATAGAAACCCACCCTCATTTTCATTGTGACAAGATCTTGGCTGAAAAGAAATTGTCACCCCACACCAGCAAAAGCATGCCTCATGTAAAATGGCAGGCAAGGGAAAATCTTTGCAAAGGTATGTGGCTTCTGCTCCTGCTCTATACAGTAACCTCACTAACGTTCTTTTCTGTGGCTTGGCTAATTTATCAGGTTCACCAGTATACTCTCCTTGCCCATTCAAAACCTTACCTGTAAAGCTACAATATAAAAATATTTTTTCTGGTGATATTTGATATGTGACCTGTAGGACAAAACTGAAAAGGTGTATTATGGTTCTCTGTAAGATAGATAGATAGATAGATGATAGATAGATAGATACATACATACATACATACATACACGCATACACACAGTGTTGGTTATTGGGTCTCCTGCCAGCTGCAGAGGTTTGCCTGGACTCAACAGTGCAGTGCAGCAGGCCGATTGGGTAGCAGGGGTTACCGAGACTCTGAGCCATCTGGAGTGAAAACTGCCACTGCCTCTCCCCACCCTAGACCCTGAATTCCAGGATTCTGACCCATGCCCTGCAACTAACCTAGATTTTTGCTTTGTTGTTGCTGACTATGCACTATGACTCCTGGTTAACCTGGAAATAGCAAATCTAGAACAAGTGACTGCATCTATACTCCTGCCAAAATCAGCATCAAAATATGTCTTGAGGACAAGATCACTGCAAAAAATCACTTTCTTTATGCAATTTTATATATGTTATATCAGTATCCATTTTAAATATATTATATATTATTAAAAATGCATGCTATATTCTGAAGGCAATAGAAAAAGCATGTAAAATATTTCAACTATTTTATATAGTTTCTGTCCTGAAATGATCATGTTTTGAACATATTGGGTAAATTAAACATAATATAAAAGTTAGTTTCACCTGTTTCTTTTTTACTGTGACTATTGGACAATTTAAAATTACATATCTACTGTATTTTTAGGAGTATAAAATGCACCGGACCATAAGACGCACCTAGGTTTTAGAGAAGAAAAATAGAACAAAATTTTGAAGTAAAAAAAATGTGGTAAAATACTTAATAACCTGTGACCCTGTTCCGCCACCACCCCGCCTCCACCTTGAGCTAGGTAAGCTACATTCAGACTATAAGATGCACCCCCTTTTCCTCCCAAATTTGGTGGGAGGGGGAAGCACATCTTATAGTCTGAAAAGTACAGTAGCTTGAAATGTGTTGGACAGTGCTGGTTTAGACTAAGTGCTCATTAAGTTGCCTTAGTATACTTGAAGTGTTATCTCATTTTTTTATGAGAGTTTATCCCCAAGCCTTATTAAGTTACTCTTTTAACCTGAGTATCCTACTGCAAAAAATCTAATGCCTGTGTGCTTTTTCCTTTACAGAAACCTGTCTCTCTTCCTGATAGAAACATAGTCTCAGTTACACAAAGCAG